CCGCAGCTGCCAAACTTACACCCTACCTGTACTGCCTTATTGATACCTTAGAGGGAGCTCTAGATTTCACTCATCAATAGAGTACAAAAAGATTCTGATTATTAGACAAATAGTATAACAGGCCATTCACTCATGCTTTTTCTATTTAAATCACTTTAGCATTAATATGCTTTGGTAATAATAAGTTATTAGGAAGCTTCTGAGTGCAAGGCACTGCGTATGCCAACATTTGAAGGAATCATTTCTGCTGTCAGGCAGCCCCTAGTCCAGTGACAAGTATGCGGGGTACAAGACAGGAGGAGGAAAAGAGAAGCACAAAAAGTGAACACACGAGTAACAGACATGCAGTTGGAACAGTATAAAAATGCAGTGGCTGTGGGACACAGAAAGAAAACATACATATTTCAAAGGGCAGAGCTGCAGCAATGTTAGGCTCAGGAATGGCTCATTCTGGAGAAGATGGAAATTATTTTGAGCTTTGCATGGGGGGAGGGTTAAATGTGCCACTCACCACTGAGAAAGGAGAGTAGTTGAGGTGGAAGGAGCAGTGGGAACAAAGGTGCAGGTAGGGAGGTGGGTAACAGCTCCAATGGAGCTAATGGTCAGTAGTGCGAAATCAGACCAGACTGGGAGTTTCATAGTAGGCCATGGGACTTTCAATGACACGCTAAGTAGTCTGGTCTTAATTTAAGACCAATAGTCATAGTAAAAAGACATTGAAAGATTTTGTACACAAAAGCAAAATAACCAGCTCTAGAATTTATATAGATTAATTTAGCAAAAACATTAGAAGATTTTGGATTATGAAAGAAAATGGTGGCAGGCAGAGATATTAGGTGAAAGATGAGCACAGTGGAAATAATGAAAGATATTGGAAATGTCCCAGAATTGAACACAGATTAAACATGGGAAATGGGAGCGCTGAATAGAAAGAAATAGTGACATTCCCAGAAAGAGCAAAGAAAAGGCATCGTTGTGATCAAGAAGCTAGAATGTGGTTTTAGACATGCTAAATTTCAGTGCTGTGATTTGTTCCTCCAAATGGAGATGGCTAGAGATGTGAATTTGAGCTCCTGGTTCAGCAACTTCCTGTTACTGTGATCTATAGCAGAAGCTGTTCATTTTGGACTTTGGTTTTTAAAAAATGAAAAAAAGGCATGATGGAATTCAATGTGGAGGTACTGTGTTGGTAGTAGTTTTTTGTGTTTTTCCACTTTACCCTTTAACAAAAAAGATACAAAAATTCTGGGAACTCGATACATGTGTATTGATTTGAATAGAATGCATTGACGTGAAAGCTTTTAGGGGTCAAAGATGGGAAATATGAATAGTTTAAATTTGAAAATGTGCAGTCAAGTGAGGACTGTGAGGCTCATTTGGTGGTGGAGAGGTGCATGGAAAGAGTAGGTTGAAACCTCCCTC